TACAAGCCGGTGATGGCATTAGTCCTGCTACAGTTTACATCGGCAGGAGTTGCACTCTTCACCAAAGCTGCTTTCATGGAAGGACTCAATCCCACCGTCTTCGTCGTTTACCGTCAAGCCATTGCTACTCTCTTCATATGTCCCATCTCTTTCCTCTCCGCATGGTAAGTGTTAAAGTTTGATCCATCCATGTATCAAGATTTGAAATGAAAAATCCATCATATTTCCATGTGTTCATGGTTACATAGGAGGAAAGAAAGCAAACCTTCTCTTGGAGTAAGAGGCTTTTGGTGGGTAGCTTTCACGGCTGTTATTGGTGTGACTGTGAATCAGAACGCTTATTTCGCAGGGATTGACTTGTCTTCTTCTTCCATGGCTTGTGCTATGACCAATCTTATTCCTGCTGTTACCTTCATTATCTCCTTCTTTGTTGGGTGAGTATTATATCTTTATCCTAAATATTTGTGTTTATATAGCGGTTCTGTATTGATGGGTTGACTGATTATGGCTACAGATTCGAGAGGATAAAGAGGACAAGTGTGAAAAGTGTTGCAAAGGTTCTAGGCACAGGTGTGTGTGTAGGAGGAGCCATGGCGATGACTTTTCTCAGAGGTCCCAAATTGCTCAACGCCTTGCTGCACCAAGACCACACCAATTGGTTACTCGGTTGCTTCTTTCTTCTCATTAGCACTTTTGCTTGGTCTCTTTGGTTGATTCTTCAGGTTCCTATTGCCTCTCACTGCCATGATCACTTGTACACTTCTGCCTCCACTTGTTTCATGGCTACCATAGCTTCTTTCCTCATGGCTCTCGCCTTAGGAAATACTGATTTACCGTCTTGGAAGTTTGATTCCTCCTTGAAGCTCTCTTGTTGTGTATTCTCTGGAATCCAATTGGCTGTGTCTTTCTTTCTACAAGCTTGGTGCGTGTCGCGGAAAGGACCTCTTTTCTCTGCTCTCTTCAATCCTCTTTCTACGGTCATCGTCACTTTCTTCGGTGCTCTGTATTTAAAAGAACAGACTTACCTCGGGAGGTATGCCCTATTAGTCTCTTTTCTTACTGGCTTTTCTTCATTTCTGATGTCCATTTTTATCGACTTTTCCAGCCTGCTAGGAGCTTTGGCAGTCATCCTTGGTCTCTACATTGTTCTCTGGGGAAAATCCGAAGACTATCAAGAAGAAGCCGCGGACCTGAAATTGCAAACAGATAACACCAATCTTTCGCAATCTGACTCTGTTCCTGTTTTGATCGGTGATAAGGCCTTTCGTAGTTCGGAGCTCTTAGAACCTCTTCTCATGTGAGGTCTAATAGAGTCAGTTTTAGATGGTGTAAGAAAGAAATTTTTGACGAACTATATAAGTATACATTTGGGAATTTTAGAATATGGCAATGATAACATGGCAAAATGAAACAGAACTTCTTTAACAAATCTCACTCGTCCTAACAGATGTAAGAAGTTACTCCACGAACAAAAAGACTCGAAATAGAAGCACAAAGCAAGTGCTGTTGTAACTCATATGTTGCAGATTTATAAAATACACTGAAATGCAATATCACACACACAAGACAAGGGATCAATGAGGTTGTCTCAAGGCTGCATTTACTTACTCGAGAGTAAGATGATGGCATTTGAGATATCTTCTTTGGTCTTTGTCTTGGTTTGGAGGGCATCTCGGGTGTTTCAACGCATAAGGATCTAATACCAACTGCGTTTCCTGTTGTTCCTAAAGGCGCAACAACCAACAGAGTAGACGATAATAAGGAATACGAGGAAGACAATGTTCACCTGAGCGACTTTTTTCCACGAGTTCCTGATGTTGTCGAGGAGACCGGCCTTGCAGGCTTGGCAGTCGTAGCATAGAGTTCCAGGTTTGTTGTCCCAGACGTTACAGTCCTCGTTTGTGTATGGACCAGCGGTCTTTGTCCAATTAGTTGGGCCAATATACGTGAAGTTACAGTCGTTGGACGGCTTACAGCAACCAGACTACATAAGTGAGGCAAAAAAAAACGGCGTTAAAAGGAATCGACTCACATTATGTCTCAGGATGTATACTAAATGTCTAAATCCAACACAAGAATTTGACTTCCATGTTACATGATAACACTATTGTTATCAGAATTTTCCAGTGTAGATAGATCGCATCACTGTTTTTCTTAACTTCTAATCAAAAAGCAGCTTTTCACACGAAAAGGGAACTGATAGAAAACCTAAAAGAGAATTCCTAAAAAGCTTGTGTTTGTCATATCCATGGAAGAATAAGTAAACTTGCTTTAAGGAAAAAGCTCACAAAAAGCTTTATTATATTCATGTGATTCACTTTAATCTCTAATGGAAACAGCGGAAAAATTGTGAATCGAATCGGATCTGGAATGTGAACCTGAAGGGCATTGAGGCTGGTCTTGTAAAACTGGGTAACGGTGACGGAAGCGTAGCGACTGCTAAAAGTGGAACACACGTCGGAGTAAATCAAACAGCTCTTGATCCGATCCCAATTCTTAACATTGGAGACTCGTTTCTGCAACCAATTTGAGTAATCGCCGACGCGATACTCTCTATACCCTCGATCAGACAAAACCTCTCCGGCGCCACGATTTGTGACGGCGAAAGCGAAGATGGTGAAGCAGAAACCGAGGAGTATGAGGAGGAACATAGCGAAGAGATAAAGCCATAGGAGGCAAGAGACACGGCAACAAGCTCCGACGAGTCCGGCAATGGAGACGAACATGAGGAAGATTCCGAGAACGACGATTGGTTTGTCGAGGAAACGCTCACACTCGGTGGCTGCATTTTTCCCGAGCCAGATCCCGGCGGAGAGAATTGGGATTGAGAGGAGGAAGGTGAAGAAATTGAGGATTCCGAGAAGATTGTTGCTACACTGAACCATTTTTTTGCTTTCTTCTTACGGTCCCGTGAGAATTCTTTTGTCCGCGGAAAATCAACCCTTTCAGATCTTTACGCAATATGGGAGTTTTGTCCGTTACGAAATCTGTTGGAAATTAAACGGCTCAGACTTATTTTCTAGAGTTTGTAACAGTTAACGACAGCTAGACAAGGTTAATGATTACTCGTATTTAGTTTAAAATTTTTGATTCCGAGAAAAGCTTTTCAGAATTTGTTGCAAGTGATAAAATTGCCTCGAGAATTAATTTTTTGATATGGATCCAAAGAATGTCTTCAAATTTATTGATTTGATCATCCAAAGAAAAAGCTTAACAAAAGACAAGAGATAGATCATGCACACGACCTTTTGACATTCAAACATAAAGATGATATAAGAAAAGTTATTTGCCGGAATCAGAGAGCCTGGGAATGTTCCGAATTCCGATCTCCCTCTGCTCATTCCACTTATCAACCTGCGGAAAGATAAGTGCATCATAGTCAAGAATGTGTTAAGAGAAAGATGATAATAAGAAGCGAAGCAAAAAAACATAATCAACAAGTAAAACACAAACCCATTCTCGAGGGTAGAGAGCGCGGTAGTACGCTGGT